TGACCCGTAATAGGACCATAGAGAAAGTGTCTGATCGTGGCAGGTGATATGTCCACTGGGCACCCTCGAACCAAAGTGGAAGTGAGCGGATCCTGCGCTAGTGGCTTTGACCGCTTGGAAATGGAACAACGGAGAGTGGCAGCATATGAAGCATAGAACTCCCGCATAATTTCCTCGCTGTACGTCCCTGGGTCTCGAGCCATCTAGTCACACTTGTGAAGGTTAAACAGCCGGTGAATGTCTGGAACAGTATGCAGGCTCCCCGTGAGGACTCTGCGCTCCGCTGAAATTAGTCGGGCCATCTTTTGTTTATCGTTGACCATCTTAGCATCCCGATAGATTTGCCATTGGGCTTCTACACACCACCTATTTAGCTCGCTGGCTACATGAGTGGGGTCATCATTTCGTGGTGCAGGTATGGACTTTGAGCTAGTTGCCTCATAAGACGAGGCAGCTTGGTCATTCTCTCCAGACCCTGTGGATGATTTGGCATTGGACCCTGTAGCATGGGAAAACTCGGATCGTGAAGAGTGGGCAGACTCAGAGCCTGACGGATGGGCAGACTCGGACCCGGACATAGACCCCTCTGAACTGGAACCATCCCCAGTTGGTGACCCGATCATTGTGTGCTCCTCATCAGACTGGGAGACAGTGACTACGTCGGGAAGCACCTTTCGGGGGGTGCCTATGGTGCCTCGAGGTGCAGCGCGAGAAGTCCTAGGGTTGAGAGGCACATATGTTGGATCGGTGTCGGCGTCTGTGTTCTCATCAATTAACCGGAAACTAGGGGCAACAAATTTGGACTTTCCCCGTTTTGAGTAGGTGACCATCTTCTTGGGTGCCATCGTACCTGCGGGAACAATATTAGTGCCAAAACTAACCATACGCAGCAAAAAAAACTTTTAGAATTGGTAACGACCCTCAACTAAGTCCAATGAAAAAATTCAGACAGATGCTACAATGGTCATCCACGGAGGAGACCTACGGTCCGTGGATCTCTTCCGTGGATCAGGGGACCTGTCATATAGGTCGCAGGTGGAAACCACAGAAGTGCAGAACAGTCCGTAGATGGACCTACGGACCGTAGTCCACCTCCGTGGTTTCACACTTGGTGAAATTTTTCATGTGTATCCATTTACGAACCCCATCTACGGTCCGTAGATGGATCTACGTTCCGTAGACGGGGTATCGTGGGTGCCATCTGTGCCAGGTATCATACATTTTTTGCCTTAGTTTTCAACATTAACACAATCTCATAATGCATTTACAACATTAAATTATGCTAGTTCTTCATTCTTAAGATTCCGAATGATTACTATACCAAATAATTTAGACTAGTTGTGGAACCCTAAGTCGAAACTAGCATATAGTTTTACGATCACATAAAATAATGCTACACAATCACTATCTATCATTCCAAGGGCATTGTAATTTTCAAGTTTATCATGCAATTTCATCTAACAATTACCCAAGGTCAAGACCCAACTCCCGATTTTCTATATTCAATCTATGAATCGAAATTCAAAGTGAAGGGAAAGTCTATTACCTTACAAGCAACAAGAAGTGGGGTGATTGCGTGATGATACTAAGCTTAGCAAGACCAATGAGTCACCTCTTTGTTACTTACCAAACACCGGACCCTTTTTGTTAGATTATGGGATGGGTTGTATTTGAAATGGAAGGGAAGTTGGGGAATTATGGAAGGGATGATATTATGGAGGAGTTGTGGAGTGATTTAGGGAGGTTAGGGAATGTTAGAAGCGGTTTTGGGAGTAATGGAGGGAAGGGGAATGGTTTAAAACAAATGGGGTTTTTTAAATGGGGGAATCCGGGTTGGGTCAGACAGCCTGAGGGTATGGACTCCCGAGACCCCGTCTACGGTCCGTAGATCAGGACCGTAGATCACTCATACACTTGAAAATTTAGAAACTTACATGGGATCTACGGGCACCATTTACGGTCCGTTGATGAATTGACGGACCGTCGATTGTGTCCGTAGACTTCTGCACCAGACCATTTTCTGCAGAATTTTCGTGGTGTACCTGCACATGTAGCAACCAATAGGCTATTCTTTTTACATTTACTTGACACTTTTTAGACACGGACCCTATTCTAATTCTAGCCAACACTAATACAAAACTAAAACAACTATCAAATTTGATACATGGAAGAAATCGAACAGCGCAAACTACTAGAGAAAAAACTATATCCTATCGTTGGCTAGATTATACATCTTGGGTTGCCTCCCAAGCAGCGCTTGATTTAACGTCGCAACACGACTCAGGCCTCTTGATTACTCAGACTTTATCAAGATTGTAGGCCTCAATCACTTCTTGCATGGTTTCAACATTTCCCAAATAGATCTTGATCCTTTGCCTGTTTACCATGAACCTTGTTCCATCCTTTTTTTCCAGCTCAACCGCCCCATGGGGGAACAATTTTGTGAGCAAAAATGGTCCGGTCCATTTGGACTTGAGTTTGCCTGGAAACAAGCGCAACCTAGAGTTGAATAGAAGCACAAGATCACCAACCACAAATTCTCACTTTTCAATTCTTTGATCATGATACCTCTTCATCTTCTCTTTGTACAAGGCTGAACTTTCATAAGCTTTTAGGCGAAACTCATCAAGTGTTATCAAGTCATCCATTCTTTGATTAGATGCGGCGCCCCAATCCAAATTTAATTTCTTCATTGCCCACATCGCCTTATGCTCTAGTTCTACTGGTAAATGACAAGACTTCCCATATACAAGTTGGTAAGGAGACATACCTATGGGAGTCTTGTATGTAGTGCGATATGCCCATAGAGCATCATCAAGCTTCTTTGATCAATCCATTCTATTGGCATTTACAGTCTTCGCCAATATCTGTTTGATCTCTCTGTTGGATACTTCAACTTGACCACTAGTCTGTGGATGGTAAAGGGTGGCTACATTGTGGCGGACACCATATTTCTCAAGTAGTACCTTGAACAACTTATTACAAAAGTGAGAACCTCCATTGCTAATAATAGCCCTCGGTGTACCAAATCTGGAGAAGATGTTCTTTTTCAAGAAATCGGTGACACTTTTACCTTCATTGTTGGAGAGCGCAACTGCTTCCATCCACTTCGATACATAGTCAACCGCAACAAGAATATACTTCATCCCATATGAACTCACAAATGGACCCATGAAATCAATGCCCCATACATCAAACAACTCTATCACCAATATAGGATTCATAGGGAGCTCTTGCCTCTTTGAAATCCCTCTTTCACTTTGGCAACGATCACAAGACTTGGCGAAATCATGAGCATCTTGGTGAATGGTAAGCCAGTAGTATCCACATTGCAAAATCTTATGTGCAGTTCGAATACCACTATGATGCCACCAACAGGCGATGAATGGCATGCTTCAAGTACACTCAACATCTCAACCTTGGGCACGCAGCGACGAATAATCCCATCAGCACAACTACGATACAAATAAAGTTCATCCCAAAAGAATTTCTTCACATCATGCATAAACTTTTTCTTTTGGTGAAAAGACAAATCGGGAGGCACAATATCGCTTGCCAAATAATTAGCAAAGTCAGCGAACCAAGGAATCAGATCATGAGAAGTAGCTAATACCTGTTCATCTGGAAAAGCATCATTAATTTCAGCCTTGTCTCCAAGCTTTAGCATAGCCTCTTCCTCTAATCTGGACAAGCGATCGACAACTTGATTTTCGGTTCCCTTTATATATTTTACCACAAAATCAAACTCTTGCAGCAACAGTACCCATCTAATCAATCTTGGTTTTGCATCTTTTTCGCCATCAAATACCTCAATGTAGAGTGGTCAGTATGCACTATGACCTTAGTACCAAGCAAGTTGGAATGAAATTTCTCGAATGCAAAAAACCACCGCAAGGAGTTCTTGTTCGGTCACAATATAATTCTTCTGGGCCACATTTAGAGCTTTGCTAGCATAGTAAATAGGGTGAAGAATTTTCTCTCGCCTTTGACCCAATACTACACCAAGTGCCACTCCACTCGCATCGTACATTACCTCAAACGGTTGTCCCCAATCCGGTGAAATAATGATAGGTGTTGTAACCAACTTCTCCTTCAGCTTTCCAAATGCTCTAAGACAAGCGTCATCAAAATAGAACTTACTCTCCTTCTCGAGAAGTTTGCACAAAGGATGTGCAATTTTTGAGAAATCTTTGATGAATCTCCTATAAAAACCTGCATGTCCAAGAAAACTTCTAACACCTTTTATTGAAATGGGTGGCAGAAGCTTTTCTATTACCTCAACTTTAGCTTTATCAACCTCAATACCTTTCTCTGAAATTCGATGTCCCAACACTATACCTTCTTTAACCATGAAGTGACACTTCTCCCAATTAAGCACCAGGTTGCAGTCTTCACACCGTTTAAGCACCTCGGCCAAATGATCTAGACATCGATCAAAAGAGTCACCTATAACTGAAAAATCATCCATTAACACTTCAATAGTGTCCTCCAACATAGTAGGATGATAAGAAATCTTCACTAGATGCCCATTCGGCAAAGGCTTGTTGGGTTTGCCGAACTGTTTGGCGATTCACCAAACATTCAAGGGCTCGCCAAACTTTCCAGGGTACGACCAGTCTATTATGGACAGAAGGGAAAATGAGAGCAAGTACGCCGAATGGCTTCGGTGCATCACCTAATGGGTAGAAACCTTGCCGACTGCTCCAAGACGCCGAACTATCAAGATTAATAAAAAAAGCGATGAAAGTTGGGTCACCCAATCACTTTGGCATGTCACCGAGTAATGGATATGTCCCGCCTAATGTTCTAGTATCTCAGCCCAACTTTTGACGCCAAGAAGGCAATCAACATCGAGATCACATAACGTATTCGGCGATCCGCTGATGGAACTATCACCTGGAAAAGTCGCCTACACCTACATATTCAAGACACATTATTGGAAAAACTAACACTTGGATTGCCTCCTAAGAAGTGCCTTATTTAACGACGTGGAAATTCTCTCAAGCATCTTCCAAATACACCACTTCAATCACAGAAATTTCATGGCATTCTCCAACATACAACTTCAAGCGCTGCCCATTCACCTTGAAGGCAGGGCCTTCTTTATCTTCGATTTCAATGGTACCATTTGTGAATACCCGAGTTACTCTAAATGGACCTGACCATTTGGATTTGAGCTTTCCCGGAAAGAGTAGTAGTCGAGAATTATATAGTAACACCCAATCTCCAACTCGAAACTTCCTCTTAAGGATTCGAGAATCATGCCACTTCTTCATCTTTTCTTTGTAGGTAGCCGAACTTTTATAAGCCCTAAACCTGAATTCATCCAATTCATTTAGATGATCTACTCTCCATTTGGAGGGTCTTTGCCCAGTCCAGGTTTGAGCCTTTAATGCCCATAATGATTTGTGTTCCAATTCAACCGGTAGATGGCAAGACTTCTTGAAGACTAGTTGATACAGAGACATATTGATTGGTGTTTTGTAGGCAGTGCGATATGCCCACAGAGCATCATCTAGCTTTTTAGACCAATCAGTCCTATTTGCATTTACTGTCTTTGCCAAAATACTCCTTATTTCTTGATTCGAAACTTACACTTGGCCACTCGTTTGAGGATGATATGGAGTTGCCACTTTATGTCTCACTCCATATTTTCTCAATGCGGATGCAAAAAGCTTGTTCAGTTCTTCTGGCATTAATCCACTAACCACATAGTTAGCAACATCAGCATACCAAGGAGTTTGTTGGAGAGTTACCGTGAATACTTGTTCATTGGGAAAGATATCATTTATGTCTACCTGAGGCTCATCATTCTCCTTCCCTTCTAACCATGATAGGTAATCATCCACTTGATTTTCACAACCTCTTCTGTCTTTGACTTCGAAGTCAAATTCTTGCAACGACAACACCCACCTTATTAATCTTGGCTTTGTCATCTTTCTTTTCCATCAAATATCGAAGAGCAACGTGGTCTGTATGAAAAACCACTTTGGTACCTAGCAAGTATGAGCAAAACTTCTCAAATGCATATACCACCACAAGTAATTCTTGCTCTGTAACTGTATAGTTACGCTGAGACCCATTTAGAGTTTATCTTGCGTAGTAGATGGGGTGGAATAGCTTATTACGTTGTTGTCCCAACACTACACCGAGTGCCATACCGCTTGCATCACACATCACTTCGAAGGGTTCTGACCAATCGGGACTGATGTGATCGGAGTGGAAATCAATTTCTCCTTTTAACACTTAAAAGGCTATCATACAAGCATCATCAAAGTTGAATTTTACTTCCTTCTCCAAAAATTTGCTTAGATGGTGTGCAATTTTTGAAAAGTCTTTGATGAACCTCCCTGGTAAAATCTGGCATGCCCCAAAAAACTACGAATACCCTTCACCGAAATTGGTTGTGGTAACTTCTCAATCACTTCAATCTCTTCTTTATCCACCTCCAATCCTTTTTGTGAAACTTTGTGGCTAAGAACTATACCTTCCCTAACCATGAAGTGGCATTTTTCCCAATTTAGGACCAAATTCGTCTCCACACATATTTGAAGAACTTGTCCCAAGTGTCCCAAACATGCTTCAAAAGTATCACCCACAACCGAGAAGTCATCCATGAAGACTTCCATTGAATCCTCCACCATATCAGCGACAACAGATAACATGCAACGTTGAAACATTGCCGGAGCATTACGTAACCCAAACGACATTTGTTTGGAAGCAAAACTTCCTTATGGGCAGGTGAAAGTGGCTTTCTCTTGGTCTTCCGGAGTAATGGATATTTGATTATACCCAAAGTACCCATCCAAAAAGTAGTACCATCCTCTTTCTAATAGTCGATCAAGCATTTGATCCATGAAAGGCATGGGAAAATGATCTTTCTCGGTCCACGAATTTAACTTCCGATAGTCCATGCATAGGCTCTAGTTTCACTAGTTTGTTTTTAAGGTCGCTACATAAGTGTCAATGATCGTAAATAAGTATAAACCCAACTATATGAGTTGGGGTCGATCCCATAAATAGTAGCTTTCTTTTGAGTTCGATTATAAAATTATGATAGTGACCTTTGCAGCTGAACACATAAAACACTTTGAAATCTATGAACCAATACTCGAAAACATCATCACTAATCCAAACGATCAATTGCCGGACTACCAAACACTTCAACAATCGAAAAGTGACAATCAAATAAGGAGGACATACTTGGGGGATTGACTAACCAACTGCTAAATTCAATTCAATAGGTACAAATCATCACCCAACTATATTGATTTGTTATGGGTAGAATGGACTTTATATAAGGCACTTTCTCTCGAACAAATACCTTATTTCCACTGAGTTCTTTCAAACCTCAATGCATTCCTTAAGAAGACCAGCCCACAATCTCATCAAATCTACTCTCTTGAGCTAGATACAAAGGATGGAGCTTGGGTTTCACTTTCTCAAGAGGAAACCGTGAAGACCCACTAGCTATGGATGCTAAGTTACTACCTTAGCTCTACACTTCTTTCTCAAGAAAGTGTAAAACCCTAAAGTATATTACAATAAACATAAAATATAGAAGCTAAACCACAATAATAACTCAGACCCACTTCAAATTAACATCGTAAACCAATAATTACTAGCACCCATTGAATCAAACACAACAATTGGTTAAATTGTCAAACCCCCAAGATTGGGGTTTTAGCCAATCATTGTAAAAAGACAAAAATTGATACTTGCTACAAATTCCATAGCTGGGTATTTGATAATCAAAAGTTTACTTTGAAGAATCTCTTCGCTATTACAATGCCCAATTGAAAATAATGCAAAAGTTTCACCAAATGAACAATAATTGTGTTTTCTCTCTTTTTTGTGTTTCTCACAATTTCTAAATACTTTCTCTCTCTTCCAAATTCAATTTATACGAATCTAAGGTGTGACTTTTTGGGCCATTCAGCGAAGAAAATCGAGCGTCACCAACCCTTTCGGTGACTCACCGATCGTCCTGTCAGCTCTCTTCTTTCTTCACATTTCCCTCGTCCAACCACTATAATTTTAGGCGATCCAGATCGAGATCATTATTCCATTACGTGATGCACCATTTTGTATCTTAGCTCGCCAATCTGCATTCATCTGGATCTCCAGCAATAGTTTTCGGCGACATAGTCCCCGATGCAGTCAGTGATTTGTCGATATGATTCTATTCTATTCACCCGTGGGCCACCAAGATGTACCATGACCTACGGGAAGTCTATTGGTGGAATGGGATGAAGAAATATATCGTGGGATTTGTGACCAATTGTCCTAATTATCAACAAGTGAAAGTTGAGCACTAAAGGCCGGGAGGCTAGTCACAAGATATTGCTATACATACTTGCAAGTGGGAAGACGTGAACATGGATTTTATAGTAGGCTTGCTAGGTACTTGGCGGCAACATGACTTGATATGGGTAATAGTGGACCAGATGACTAAGTCCTCTTATTTCATTTCCTTCATGGTGTCCTACTCAGTGGAAGAGTATGCTAATTTGTATTTGAGGGAGATAGTAAGATCAAATGGAGTACCCTTGTCTATAATTTTGGATCGAGGTACCAGTTTACTTCATAGTTTTGGATGTCTTTCCAAAAGGGGCTATGACCAAGGTGAAGCTTAGCACATATTTTCACCCTCAAATAGATGGTCAAGCGGAACATACCATTCAGACTTTGGAAGACATGTTGAGAGCATGTGTGATAGATTTTAAAGGCAATTGGGATGACCATGTACCGTTAGTTGAGTTTGCTTATAATAACTATTATCATTCGAGTATCGACATGGCTCCCTTTGATGCTCTCTATTGTAGGAGATGTAGGTCTCCTATAGGATGGTTTGAAGTTGGAGAATTTTCTCTCTTAGGTCCAGAATTGGTGCATGAGGCCCTTGAGAAGATTTGAGTTATTATAGAGAGGTTGAGGACAACCCAATGTTGGCAAAAGTCCTATGCCGATGTTAGAAGGAGAGATCTTGAATTCTATGTGCATCATTAGGTTTATTTAAAAATCTTACCCATGAAGGGTGTTATGAGTTTTGGGAAGAAGGGGAAACTTAGTCCTCATTTTGTGGGTCCTTATGAGATTTTGAGGCGTGTCAGCAAGGTTGAATATGAGTTAGATTTGCCAAATGAGTTGGCGTTGGTGCATCCCGTGTTCCATGTCTCAATGTTGAATAAATATGTTGGGATCCATCAACCATTGTTCCCTTAGAGGGTTTAGAGATTAAAAAGAACCTTTTTTATGAAGAGGTATCGGTTGAGACCTTAGACCGGCAAGTCAGGAGGTTGAGAAACAAGGAAGTAGCCTCCATGAAAGTATTGTGGAGGAATCACTTAGTTGAGGTGCTACTTGGGAGGCCGAGCCCAACATGAATTCCCGATATCGTCATCTCTTTCCTTCCTCTCCTATTCCAACTTGAGGTAATGAATTCCTCTTGACTTTTCTTATTTAGGAGGGTGTGATTTAGGTGTTTCCATGATTTCCTTATGTTTATGCATGTTCATGAAAAAACTTATGTTTAGAAAGAAAATGAGTTTTTATGATTGATGTCCCTCTTGTTGTTGTGCTTTGAGTACGAGTTGCCTATTGACTTCATGAGATGAATTGATGAACATGCTTTATATGTATATGCTTTTCTTGAGTAAATGGCCTAATGGTTTCCTGAGATTGTGTTGAGCATGCTTTAAAGCTTGGAGAAGGTAGTTCCTCCTAAGAACATGATAAATGTTGAAATTTCATGCATAATGGGTTGTTAGATGTAGTTCGTACTTTCTTATGATGCATTGAATATGTTTAAGTTGGAGTTGATGTTTCCCCCTTCGAATTGTGCATTATTATGATGTTGCATGCATGTTGGGCTACTAGTCTTGAGTCTTTACTTCCGTAAGGTGTCTAGATCGTTATTCGAGGATGAATGTTCTCAAAGGGGAGATATTGTAACACCTCAAAAATTAGTAGGCTAAACTAAAGCTTAACATGAGGGTTAGAGTCGTGAATGTAACTCCCCAAACTTAAAAATAGATGATTTTGTGTTCGAATGTCAAGGTACCACCCCTCAAGGACCAACCATGCGCCCTTGAGGAGGATCCCTAGAAAACTTCTTGGGTAGTGACCAACAACATGACCTACGCCTCGTTGGTCAGTCCATTCTTCGTGGATGGAGGGTCTGTGGTTGGCCAAAAGTTGCAATCACCAAACCACTGTTGGCCAGCACGGATTGTGGGTCCAACCATGGCCTGTCAGCTTGGTCTTGTGGATAGTGACCTGGGAGCGGTTTTAGTGGTTATGTTTAGGGTTATTTTGGGTCTTTTCGATTTTAATTAAGATTAAGTGGTATATTTTTAGCCTAATTTAGATCACCTATATAAGGATTTTAAACCCCTAAATTAAGACATTTAACTCATTATTTCTAAAACTCAAATCAATTCCCAAAGTTCATACTCTCCAAAAATTCTCTCTCTAGAAAACTAAAAAAAAAAGAACGAGAATCAACTAGGGTTTCAAGAGAAGGATTTTCCAAATCAATTTATTTGGGTATTGTGACTAAGCTGTGGTGGTTGTCATCCATGTGTAGCTTTCACCCATGGACCCCTCTCAAAATCTTCAATTTCAAATGATAAAATTCCCCCAATCAGCTAGGGTTTTCTTCATTCACCATGTGTCCTTTGATTTACTGATTTGAATGGTTTAATTATGTCTAAATATGCATGAATTGATGATTTACAATTCTTTTGTGATGTTTCCCTTATGATCCCATGCAAATCCCCATATTTCTCCTAATTATGATCTCATAGGTGGAGTTATTGATTGTGAAAGAGGAGTTTTTATGATCTAATGTATGAATTGATAGAATTACATGTAGTTATGATGAAATCCCTTTATAGTTCTTAAATTTTAAACTTGGTGATTGATAGTGGCTTTG